TTCCAGTCGACGCTCTTCAACTTTCACTCATTCTTTGACAATTAGTTTGTGAATTTTTGGACTGTGTGAATAGGGGTGAAATTTTTTGACTCTGATATTTTTTTTTTCAGTCGACGCTTTTCCCTGCTCCTGTCTTGTGGTGGGTCTGGACGGATAGGTCCTTCGGCGGGGGCAGCTCGGTCTCGGCAGGGGTGCTTGATACGGTTGCGCCAGTCCAAGCACAACAAGAAACATGTTATTAATTTTTCATCCCCTCATATTGTATCAGTCCCTCTGTAATTGGAACTTTGCTGTTTTCTATGGTTTATATTTAGTATATTTTCGTTATATTTTTATCCACTCATATTTGTAACGTTCCCTCCTGTTATATGTATTTATATTCAATATATTTTCGGTATATGTATGGTTAAAATCATGAAAAACATATACATACCATCGTTACGATTTGTATTGTAAGTATATATACCGACACTATAATTTATATATTCATTATATAGACCATGATTATGTTTTATATTTACTATAATCTTTGAAATATATACAACACATACACCAACATTTTTTGATGGTATATTTTTTGTATATATATTAAACATATACTGAATATATATTAATATAAACGCAACATGCTCACCCTGGACAACTGTGTGAATTACAANTGTATACCATTAAAAAACGATTAAAATAAACTATATATATACCATTAAAAAACTGAAAAATCCATTTAATGAATTATCAAAGATAAAACAAAACATATAAACTAAAAAAATGAACCCATTTTTTTTTTAGGTTGAAATGGATATAGTAACTGCCTTTTAGCCATTAAGGTAGTTAAATATGGTCTTTTTACAAGAAAAATCAAGGGATTGAGGTGTATTGGAAATGGTAAGTCTTTTTAGGCATTAATGTAGTTAAATGTGGTCTTTTAAGTAAAGACATAATTAGTTATATTTACATGGTAAAGTTGTAAATATTTATAAATAATGTAGGAGATATGAAAATTCCCCTATCAAATAATGAGGCCTAAGTAATGATGGTAGTGGACTTTTTAGTCCATTAAATATTCTTGGCTAAAGTAAACACCTACATAGATAATGTTTATAAAAAATCTACTTTTATTAGATTTTGTCCTGGTTACAATTTTATCATTTCAAATGTTTTTACTAGGACAGCTAAATATCCTAAACTGCATAAGATTCATTCATCGTCGAAAAAGCAAATTATTACCAGTATACAAAATATAGCTCCAGACCTGTTTCATATACCATTCATATTTATTGGTAGTGAAATTTATACCAACATCAATCCCACGAAACTTGATTGCAGCACGATCGTATGCTCTGAAAGAACAACATAACTGAACTCAAACAAACTTCCCAAAAATGACCAAAATGAAGAATTTAATTTGAAATTTGAGAAATCTCAAGTATAAATTGGAAACCTTACCTAGTTGCAGTATGAGTTATGTGAAACCCTCTTGAAAGCCCAAAACACAAGACAAACAGTTAAAAATAAATGTCTAAATTTGAAAGAGAATCCGTACCGCTCTTGATGCTCCTCAACTTCGCTCCTTTCCTCACCTCCTGAAGGAAATAAAAATTATCCAAATATGAAGCTTCTATGACCAAATATGGCATAACTCTATATCAAATATCAGGCAGATGCCAGCATAACTGATTCTGAGATACTCAGGTAACTCTCAAAATCACAAAAAAAATAGACATGGAATTCCATTCAGTCTCAAAATTGAGGGGCCAAATTGTCAATGTTATAACTTTATGAAAGTGAAATAAGTTTTTTGAAATATAGCTTACCAGGATGTATGAGATTTGAGGATTTTTTGAAAATTATCAAGACCATAACAACATAACTCCATTTGAGGATTTTTGAAATATATCTTACTTACCAACCCTCCCGAAACGAAAATTCAATAGAAAAATATCCCACCAGAGTCAATTGCCGCCGAGTCATCCTATGTGTGTGAGATTTGAGATGGCGAGCTGCCTCCGACTATCGAGATATGAGAAGAAGAAACCATACCTGGTTAACCTCCGCCAATGACAACGGCGAGAACAGGACGCTGGTGGGGCAAAATCGTCGGAAGTGAAAGGGAGTGGAACGAACCCTAGCCTTCGTGATTTTCAATTGTGATTTCTGAAGCAGGGAAATCGTGTAACAAACAATCGAAGGTCACACAAGATGTGTCGTGAAGAATGAGAAACAGAGGGAGAGAAAGAGCGTTCAGCCCGGTGACTAAGAGCATCCACAATGCTTTTGGTTCAATCTCAAAAAATTGAATGCTCAGTCTAAAAAAATGTATTCTCTAATGCAAATAAAAGTAGACTGGGTCCTGCTGATGTGGCATTGACACCCAGAAATAGATACCCGGTGTTCCCATAAGTCTATTTTAGACCCAAGTAGAGATCTAGTCTCTTTGCATTGGAGTAGATTTTGTTCATTTTATATAATTTTATCCATGTCATTCAAGATTTGAGTTTATTTACATGCCACATAGGTAAGACTAGACCCAATGCATTGTAGATGCTCTAAGGGGTGAGCAAAACCGAGCCGAAACCGAAAAATCGAACTGAATCGATGTATTCGGTACGGTTCGGTTCAGTTTTCGACGCGTTTAAAATTTTAAAAAACTGCATAAATTCGGTGCGGTTTGATTTTTTGTCCGAATGATGCTGTTTTAACCGAACCGCGCTATTTTTTTTTTTTATTTTTTTTTTTTGAAATATNTAATGTTGCACATTAGATGATGATGATGTAGTTTGATTTTATTTTGGGTGTTTTTTTTTTTGGTAAAAAAAATTTCGGTTAACCGAAACCGAATCACACTGAACCGAAATTTCGGTGCGGTTTCGGTTTGAGTTTTCTACATGTTTCGGTGCGGTTCGACTTGGGTAAATAAAAAATTTTGATTTTCAGTTTTTTGCGGTTCGGTGCGGTTTTGCACCGAACCGCACCATGCTCACCCCTACCGGTGAGAAAGTCGGGAGATCGGGAGAGAAGGGTTCATGTTCGTGGAAATATCTGGCAGAAATGAGGACAAAAATTGCCTTAAGTCGTCTGGGTGTGAAGTCGAAGACTTGCTTTTCACCAGGATATCATCAACGTACACTTATTTCGACCAATCTGAGGTTTGAACATGCGATCCATAAATCGTTGGTAAGTTGCTCCTGCATTTTTAGGCCAAAGGACATGACGACATAGCAATATGTCCCCTTGCTCGTCATAAAACTCACTTTACTTTGATCCTCCGGGGCCAAGGGGATTTGGTGGGACCCTTGAGATGCGTCTATCATGCTCAGCATTTCGCAGCCAGCCGTGGAGTCGACTAGCTGATCGATTCTAGGCAAAGGATAGTGGTCTTTTGGGCACGCCAGGTTTAAGTCACGAAAATCGATGCACATGCGCCA